TTGGTTGTTAGATGTACCAGATTCTTCTGAGCTAAAATTAAGATCCAACTAAGCTAAATCAGGAGTTGCTATGAATTCAAATCATTTGCTCCTACATATTAACTATATACGATGACTCATGATCGCTATAAGTTATCACAGAACTACAAAAAATTATAAATGAACTTCTGCGTTATAATATTTAATTTTTGTGATAAACTCTCGTAAAGTAACGATATTTCTATTTTATTCTCACTTTTCTAATTCTATAATTTTAATCTTATACTCACATTAAGCTTAGAATCATACTAGAAGTGCTTAGATCCAATAAAAACTCATAAGTAAAAATTACTGTCGAGAGCTATTTGATTTTAAACTTAGTCATTTGTAGATAGATTTTTATCATATTTTATAAAGCGATAACTGCTTCTGTAATTTTTTACGAAAATTATGAATTCTTCATTATTTGTTAAATAAGTATATGTTTTGTTTTTATTATAAATCAGTCATAAGCTATAATTAAAAAAATTAAAATATAATTTTTATTAAAAAAAAATATTACAATTAAAATATAATTTTTATTTTAAAATATATTCTTAGTAGAATAATATATAATGAGAATACTTAAATAACTCACATTGTTGAGATGTTTTAAGATTTTGTTGTGATTTTTCAATCTTTTTTTTTCTTCAAATATATTTTAACTATGAAAAATAAGTTGCGATTTTCTCCAGAAGATTGAAAACATTTTTATTTGTAAATAAATATCAAGCGAGTACAGAGTTATTTTTAGATACTTTTAAATACTGATGAAAAAGTTTTGATTTAAAAATGCAGAATTAATTCTAAAACTTTTAGCTTTTGATGTGATTAGCGAAGCATTTGAAATCAAACAAATTTACATAATTTGAGAAATTCAAAATTATAGAAATATGCATTTAGTAGTAAGAGATTTCTCTCTGTACTGAGCAATTATAAGTATTATTAATTATTAATTAGAAAAAAATATGAATAAAAATCTTTAATGCCATTTTTGGCAGTTAATTGGTTATAACAAATTCTGCAAAAAAAGGAATTTTATTTTTGAATCAAAAAAATTGACAATTTATTGAATGAAAAATTATTAGTAAAGTATGACTTATTGTAAAAAATTGCACATTTCAGATTTATATTTGTTACTATTTTGATTTTCTGATCTCATTTTTTAATATAATATATCTATCCAATGAATGTTAACTAAACAAAAAGTTTTTATAATTTTTTCAAAATATTTTTTTTTAAATTATTAATTTCAGTTTTAAATTTTTTCAAAAATTTATTCGCATAAATAGGAATAAAATAAAATAATATACTATTATTTTAAAATAAAGAACTAAATTCAATAGTTTTATTTCAAAGTTGACTAATATATTTACAAAAAAAGTATATCTTTTAAAAATTGATTCACGTAAAAAAAGTATAAAAAGTGTCCTTCTTTCAAAGTATATCTTTTTTTTCCTGCTAATATTTGAATTTTTACGATTTGACAACATAAAATTGATAAAAAATAATCAATTCAATGTCATATATTTACTGAGTATTTAGATATATATATATATTTATTTATTTAGCACAAATTTGACGAAAAATAAGTAACAAAAATTAGTTAGAACGTAGTTTTCTACGTAATGTAAGAAGAAAACTAAGCAGATGTGTTCAGGCAAGTCGTATTGAACACTTTGAAAAGTGAACGCAAATAAGACTTTTTACAACTTTTACAAGAAATTTTACGATTTTTCATTTTTTTTTTAGTCAAATGACTCATCAAAATCTTAATTTTGCTATCATTACTTTTATTTTTTACAAAAAACAATTTTTGTATTTTTTCATGAAAAAATTCATCAATGTTGACGCTCACTTTTGTTTAAAAAAATAATCAGTTTTTGAAGTTATTTTTTGTAGAAAAGATTTAATGACCAGTGACTACAAACGTTTATAGGTATTTAAATTAAGATTAAATTAAATTAAATTTTATTCAAAAGTTTTTTTTTTTTACCATGACTTAGTTTGCTGACTAAAACTGGCTCAAAAATTCAAAAAATCATAAAAATTAAAGCAGAAAGTGCAGAAGAAGTGAACTCAGAGTGTAGCTTTCGTATCACTGATAAGCAGATAAATAGCACTGATAAGCGTTTTTTGATTGAAAAAAAGATTCTTTTTTTTCAATATTCAAAAATTTACGAATCAATGTTCCTAATAATCAGTGATTCTTATCAAAATGAAGAAAGGATTTGTTTTTCAAACACGTAAATCACTTCATTCATTGCTAATTTTTTTTGAATTAACAATCAGAATGATGGAAACAAGTTGTTTTGTTAGCACTGTAAATTAATATTTCATCAATAAACAGTACTGAAAAATTTTTTTGGATGATAAAAAATTATTTCAATAATTAATTACTACTACTACAGTAATTTTAGAAAATTTAATATACGATAAATTTTTTTTGTAATAATTGAAAATGGAAGAGTCATTTTTTTTGTCAAAAACTTTCATCCTACTGTTATTGACATTATAATCGACAATTTTTAAGCTTCTAAAGTACGCATTTTTATTTATTTATGTTATTTGTCTGAATGTACAGAATTTAAAATTATACTAGCAGTGATTATTAGTATAATAATTATCATTATAAATAAACTTTTTAATCTGTATTTTGCGTATAATATTTGGTTCATTTTTAAAAATTTAAAAATTTTATATTTACAGAAATTTAAAAAATAATTGCATTCTATTTTTATTCCCTGTCTTTTCATTGTTTATTGAAATACATCAAATTTTATTTTAAAATCAAATTTTAGTACTATTATTTTAGTTTGAAAAATAAACATGCACGAATCAGTGATAAATCAAATGAATAACTGAAAATATATTTATCAATTGAAATAAAATTAAGGATATAAATGTTAACAAAACTTGAAACAAATATTTTAGTTTAATAAAATTATCTGATTGTTTTATTTCTGCATAGCACTCTCTCTCATTGGTGAAAAGTTTATCTAAGAATTGAGCTGAAAGTTAAAAATACACATTACTTTTATTTGATATATATATTCGAAAAACAATTTTACACAACTGATTAAATATATTCAGCGAAAGTCAATCAAATGCATAGTCTAATTTTTACAGTAAATTCTACAATTTAAGATTTTTTAAATCATTTAGTAATCAATATTATATATTTATAAATAAGATTAGCACAAATATTTACTTCAAATTAATCATTTACCAGCAAAGTATAAGAATTACTTTCTACAAGTTGCAATCTAACAGGTGCAAAAAATCTTGACTTTTCTATAAAAAATTTTAAAAGCTATAATTTAGTAGCAAATAACAGCTTATTCTGCTTGAAATGTGCAGTAGACTGATATTAATCTCATTTATTAATCTTGCAAACCATTCAAAACTATTTGATATTTCTCATGTTTTATGAATATAATTTATTCAAAAGAGTAATTTGTTATGAATTCAAATTTAAGTAAAAAATTTATAAATTAACTTTAATATCTGTTAAAATAATAGTTATCTATTAATCTGTGCAAGAAATTGATGATAATAAGTTGTTTTTATTTGCTGGAGATAAACTCAAATGACAGCATTTTGATATCTGATATCATAAATCATAATAACTTATTTGTTAAGAAGAATCAATCATAATAAAATCGATATTTGATCAATATTTTCTGAAAAATCTGATATATCAAACGAAACTACGAAATTAATTATTAGTATTTTATAAATATATTTTTTAAAAATTTGATGGCAATGAGCTTTAGTAAATATTTTTAACTGAATTAAAACTAAACTCTGAAATAGAATTTTAGACTGAAAACTTGATAAAATCGGTTGATCACATATTACAATGCAAAAAATTGCTTCTCATTATAATTCCGTTTGGTTTCAGCACTGAAATAATGCTATATTCTGATTCATTTTCCTCTGATTCAAATTATTCATTTCATAGTAATAAAATTGATAATTATTTTCAGAAACTATAAATTGTTTGAAGAATTACTGACTTGAAAACTATCAATTATTTTTATCAGATCGTTAACTAATTAGTAGATAATATTATTCTTGAAACAAAATTAATAATTATTCATGGCAAATTATTAATTAAAAATAAATTCCAAAATGCAATAAATCATCAACTAATTTCTAAGTGAACCCATTAATTACATTAAATTATTGCTTTTTATGAATTCACATATATATATACATATATTCTGTATTGCATACATGAAAGCAATATAATAATTTGCAATGCAAATTTCATATCAAAGTTATTATAATGAACATTTGAAACAAATCAATCTAATTATAATACAATAAATTAATTCGTTAAAAGCTTCAAAATGAATATAAAGTAAAAACTTAATTTTGATGAAAACTAAGCGAATTTGAAAGTTAAAAGAATAGTTAATAATAAGCAATTTGGTTTAAAAATATTTGTAATATTTAAACTTTGTTGAATGAAACAAAGCACACTTTATAAATATCGTTGTTAGCGACTGATGAAGAAAACAAGAATGATTTATTTTCAAGAACTTAATATTTATGAGTAAACGAAATTTTTCGAACATTTTAATTGCAAATGCAAAAAAAAAAAGAATTTTGACATGCATCTAAATATTAGTTAATTAATTAATTAAAATTTATCCAAGGATTTAGCTGACAGTAAAAAATACAGATTACTTTTATTTGATATATATTTGAATACCAATTTTACACACAAAAATAACATTACTCTTATTTGATATATATCTGAATAACAATGTTATACAACTGATTAAATATATTCTCTTCTAAACTTCGAATGATAACTGAATTTGTAATAAACAAATTTTACATCATCTCGCAGGCGCTTTCAGTAAGATATTTTGAAAAAGTCAAAAACAAAAAAGCATTTATAATGTCTAAAAATAGTTATTTTTTCTGTATGACAAAAAATTAGTTGTATTTTTGGAAAAGAAAAGTGAAACACAAGTTAGAAAGTTGATGGTCTGATCAAGAAACAACTCATATCACTTATAAATCTCTGATAATGATTACAGGCTGGTTTTATACGTAAAAGTTGCAAATTTTTATTCACAGTGAGGAAGATTTGAATATTAAATATTTTATCAACCCCGGATATTTCTGGACTTAATTCCTGAATTTTCCACCTATAACTTAAGTAAAAAATTTATGGACTCGAACTTTAACATTATACTGCCATTTGCCTCTGATCACATAGTTTTGATTGCATTCATGATATTGCAAGCCAAGTGATCTATACGGAAAAAGATTTACTTGATTTCTGCAATAGACTTTTAACATTTTATTATTATATTGTATTTTATACAATGCGCAGTTTGACTTCTTCAAGTCTGATATTGTTTCAACAGTATTTTCTTAGTAATATCGACAAACACTTTTTTATATACACATAAAAGAAATAAAATATTCCTTCATAACAGAAAAATTGCTTTAATAAACATTAATTGTAGTGTAATCACGAAAATACTGCACAATATTAATTTTAAATTCATACAACAATTAGATATAATTTAATAAGTATTAAAAGTTTATTGTCTTTTCTAATATTTATTATCCTTTAAGTTTTTTGAAGATATTTGACTTATTGTTTTCTCCATAAAATTATGCACAATTTAATTAATATTCGAAAACTATTTTCACATGAAGTAAGAAAAAAAAGTTTCCACAAAATGCAAATAAATCACTGATGAGCACTTCATATTTCTTGCTATATAATCTAAAATACAAAAAGCTATAAGCATAATAGTCAAACAAATTTCGTCCTATTTCAGACCTAATAATAATAAATGAAAGTTTATGTAATCTATTTTTATTTATAAAGCAAATTAAATTTCATGATATTAACAGAAGCTTTAACCTAAGCGATATAAAAATATAAATATATTGACCCGTTCTGATTTACTTTGAGGATTAACTAACTTTTTGTATTAGTTATATTATATGCAGTAAATTGAAAATTTTCTCAATAATAATAATTATTGTAGATAAATTGAGAGTGAAAATGGCGCGATTGACGCTACCTCCCGCTTATTTTTTGCTGCTTACATTTTGTACTGTGATTGCTACGACAATCTATCGACAACCATTTGAGGTTTTTAGTAACTTTTTTTTTAATAAATGATATTTTTTTCAAATACATAAGCAAGTAAATAATGCATTCTTTTACATATCTCAACACTTCCATCAAACCCCCGGATTAACGATGGACTAAGTCAATGGTTACCATATGGAACTTATCAATTTGATCTGCCGGATTACGATGTACCAAAATTATCACTATTTGCGCAACGATTTAATTCTCAGCAAGTTTCCAGAGGAAAAAAGCATGCTAATAAGTAACTTGCATATTATTACTTTTATTAGTAACTTTCCATATGAAAAATTTTCCAAACAAATAACTTCAGTATATTTTATTTTCTCTAACTTTCATACTAGGTTGCAGCAGTAAACGAAATAAACGATAGCAAATTTATTTTATTTTTTCATTTAGAGAGCACACAATCAACAATATCTAGAGCTTCTGAGAAAATTATTACAAATTATTAAAATGACTTCTGCTCTTTGCATTTCTTCATTATATGTCTGAATTCACATACATATAAAAATTACAATTCTATAAAATTATTAATTATTTTCAGTTTTAATTACATGCCTGCAAGAGGATGAGGAATTTTAATGAAACGAACATAATGCCAATGAATCAAAGCAACAAAAATACTACTATCAATCATAATGATCTTCATTTCTATGTACATTCCTAATTTAATTGAATTTAGTTTAAATTTTCTAACAATAAAAAAAATCAGATTTACATTGATAAAGAATTAATGATGTGTTTTGATAGTAAAGGTAATATTCTTTTGTAATAATTACCATTTGTTTAATCACCAATAAAGGTCAAAAATTTTTTGTAATAATTATCATAACACTTTAATGTCAAGAAATAATGACATAAATTGTATTTTAAAGTTGTTTATTTAATGTATTATTGTAATAATTACATTAATACCACTAATGTTTATAACAAAGTTGGATAAAAACTAAGTTCAAATAAGAATAAAATGTATTTGCTGAAATTTGAGAAAGGATAAATTGTTGAAAAAGTAAATAATGTATGGCATACAGGATGAAATTGTGCTTCAGTGCATTTTCATAGTGGTATTAAACGTTTATTATATTGAATACATTAACTTCTGTACATTTTAACTGAACTGAAATAAATCTTAAATGTACGCAAAAAAATGATAAGTTTATTTTCAAATAAATTTATGCAAACGTCACTTTGCATTCAGTTTTTGAGTAACAAAGCTTGAAGTTGGAAAATTTTTTATTTATATAAAAATATACACAATGATTTGTAGATGACCATTAGCTAAATTATTTATTTTAATAATAAAAAGTAAAGCTGTCATTTTTAACCAACAAAAATACAACTCTAATTAATAATCATCACTAAGTCTTATTAATAAGTACAAGGAAAAATAACTTTGTAAAGTAACAGTAAGCCAATCGATATCGAGATAAATTTTGCGAATACGGTTATTACAGCCAGTCTATTAGCTAGATTTGAATGAGTAATCCAAGATTATCTCCCGAGAGTTCCTGATATTTGATGTATCGATAAAGGTCGAGAATTGTTCAATGACAGTGAACTTTCGATTTTGAAGAACTTCCATAATATCAAAGAATATCTGTCATTTCTAATTTATGAATAGAAGATGGAAATTTCATACACAAACTTCCCATCAAAAGAGCTATTGATAGTAAATTGCAAATTACTACTAATTGAGAATTATGTATTTACCGAAATATTTTTCGTTTTTATCTTTGTCAGTTTGCAGAAGCTATCTTTTTAAAATCTTTAATCTCTAAAACACGCTGCTTTTTACTGTCTATTTCCTCATCCTCTCATTTTTCACACTCTCTCTTATTTACTTCAGTAAAGTGAAATATAGAGTAAAATTCATTTTAAGATCTGTTCTGGAAATCATATGCTAGTCTTGTCTTAATTCTCGAAGTTTATTGATAGGAAATACATTAGACAGTATACAAGACTGCTAGTCTCAGAGCTATAAAATTAGAAATGTTTAGTTGTTTTGGGATATTTTTAAGGGATTAAGAGTTAAGTGCATGGAAGTCATAAGCAAAATAATGCACGAAAATGGGAGTACGACTAAAATTATGAAATTACGTGATTGGAATTAATTATGATATTACGTGATCTAAAAACGAGTTGGATAAGTGAGATAAAACATATGTAGAGTACAATATGGAATGACTTTAATTTATTTGACAATTAAATATTCATTACTAACTTTTTGGATAGGGATAAATAATGCTTACACATTTATTTTTGTTTCTGTGATTTTTTTTTTGTAGTTCAACTTGATTTTCATATATGATTCCTATTCTTGCATTTTATTTCATATTTTGTCAATATCTTCAGAAAATTAGTGAAATTATTCTCTAAAATAGCGATATTTTCTATTGGAATCAGAAAATTACGAGTTCGTTGTATATTGTTTTTTTAATCTTGAAGGAATTAATTTCAGTGTTGTGAATGAATCGGCGATTTTGGCTTCATGCTGTTTTCTTGCTTGTACTCATCCTTCCTGCTGTTCATAATACTCTTTCAAAATCAGACCGGAAGAAGAAGCCCCAGAAAAAATCAAATAATTGGGATGAAATAAAAAAGGAAAATGATAATTTGGAAAAAGAATTTCAGGTTAATTTTTATCCATGTTTTCTATTATTTTTTAGTAATAAGGGAGAAAGTATTTTACTGCTAGCGAAAAAAAATTATCTTTGAGATTTTTGGGATTCAAAAGTTTCAGTACAATTCTTTAAAAATATCTAAAACGTTTCAAAAAGGATTATGAAAATTTGCAGTCCATATTTTTTGTTCTATTTTAGATCATTGATAGCACTCATTTTACAGGTCGATAATAATGGTGAGCAGTTAAGTGTTGCAAGCATACTTCGTGATCACGATAAGCTTTGTACGGAAAAAAAGAAATTTAGTCATCCAGTATTAGCTTATGTTACTCCGGTAAGCATTTGTTACATTTAGATTATGTCATATTTTTTCTTGTTTTAAACATATCTTCATGAAATTTCCTAATAATTTTCCGTTTTTTATTTTGCTTGTGCCTCTAACTTTGAATATTGACATCAGATTTCCTTTTGAAGTAGTTAATTGATTCCACAACGATTCTGTAAGCTAAATGTTATATGCTTGCCTTTGGCTTACAGTCTTCAATCTTTCTTTTTGAATTTTTAGTTAACAAATAATATTACCTTAATTATAGCATTCATTTTTGCAGTGGAATAATGGTGGATATAATATTGCAAAGTTTGCAGCTCAAAAATTTACTCACATTGCTCCTGTGTGGTTTCATTTCAAACCTGAAATGAAGCAAAGAAAAACCTGCATTTTATTCGGAATGCATGATTTAGACACAAGTAATTCGTTCCTTAATTTCCACTTAATTAGTGCATAAATTTTCAGTATCTTGTCTTTTGCTTATAAATTTAAAACAGTGATCTGTATTTCAGTTGTTATACGAAATGAACCATTAGTGATCACTAATTTCAGAACTATTTGAAAATATTTTTTAGAATGGTTGGCCGATGTTCGAGCAAATAATTCAAAAATTAAATTCGTACCGCGTTTTATCATTGATAGTACAGTAACTAAAAATGCTCAACAATTTCTATATGATGAAAGGTGGCAGACAAATTGTGCTCAAATAGTTATCAATTTTTTAAAGGTCTTAGTCATGTGCTTCAAGTCTGAGAGTTCATAATTGTGATAGATATTTTAATTTTGATAGTGTCAAATAATAATCGCAACTTTCATGTTTTTCGTAACTTTGTTATTCTTGGTTGAATTACTTTTAAAAAGATAGCGATAGAAACATAAAAATTGCAGAAAAATAAAATGCACGGAGCGGTGGTAGAAGTTTGGCTTCAGATGTTGTCTTTAATTCACAAAGATACGAAAGAGTGAGTAGGTTTGTATTTTTTCACCCTCGTGTCTGTTAGCTTAATAGATAAAACTTGATGTTTGCATATTACAGATTTAAAAAAATGTTACTCCCACGCATTATTCATTTGATTTTTCTTTTTTCAAGTGATCTTTTTTATTGTTGCTTTCTTATCAACAAAGACTGCTAAGGAAGCAAAAATAAAGAAGGATCACTTGATACTTCATGTAATATGAATGGTAAGTCAATTTGATTTTCAAATAGTCGTATGTTCTACAGGGAACTGGTTGAATTAATCGTTCATTGGGCTGAGTTGTTCCATAAATTTGATCTTGAAATCATTGTACCTTTTCCGGCTCCTCTTCACGATATGTTTGTTCTGCTTTATTATTTTTCTTTTGTTCTTTACTATTCTTAAGATTTTTCTTATGATTAAACGAAGTTCATGTTGATGAGGGTTACCAAAATTAGGTTAGTCGTAGTTGAAAAATTCGGTCACATGTTTTTCATGTTTAGGCTTAATTGAAATCAGAAGATAGAAGTTTTCGACGTTTCTGTTAGAAATCAGTAACATATGTATGTGTTCTTCATTTTCGTGGTTGCTGATTTTCGAAATGTTTTCATTTTTCAGCAAGTACAATTTTTGGCATGTTTCAAGTTTATCATTAAAATACTCAAGAAATTAAGTATAGTAATTGTTTTTAGGAAAAAACCAACTGGTTTAGTAACGAAGAATGAACTGGCGAAAGTGATGGAAAGTGTCGATTTTGTAAATGTGATGACATATGACTATCATACCAATCAGTAAGCTTAACATCACTTCGTTTTTGATTAGTTTAAGGGCATCTTCTTATCGTCTTATCTGTCAAAAAAATAATTGATATATTCGAAAGATTTAAGTGATTTATTTTTTTCACTATCCCATTTTGTGTTTTTTTACAGCAATAACTACCTTACAAAAATTCATTTTGTATTTGTTCATATTTGCATCTTATTGTATTTGAGTATGAATCTGCAATTCAATCATTAAATTATTCAGTTTGCAAAAGAATTATTGCTATTCTTTTATTATGCCGATGATATTGTAGTTTTGCTGGAATAGCGCCATTTGAATGGGTTCATAAAAATTTGGAATACATTCTATCAGATCCACTCATTAATCCATCAAAAATCTTCTTGGGGCTCAATTTTTACGGATATGCATTAGAAGGAACGACTTTGAAAACTGTTGTTGGCAGAGAGTAACTTTTATACCTTTTTGATTTGATTTTAATTGTCTTTCAACGAAACTAAAATTTGGGTTTTGAGGACTGAGTTTTTTATGCTCTCGTAATACATTTTCATTAGCAGGTTTTTAGTTTCTTTTTCATAGTAATGTGGTAAATAATATTCGTTACATCCCATGCAATATTTGAATTCAGGAGTCAACAGTAGCAGGCAATTCTTAAACTTAGTCACTTATTTGCCATAAAAGAGATAAAAATTTCTATGCAAAAATGATATTTATGTATATTTTCATTTTTGTTAAAAAATTCTTGTTAGATACTCATCATCGTCATAATGACAGGTAGGTGACTTAAGCTTAAAAGTTGCTGATCGTTTGTCAATGGCTTTTTTCATTTCTCTTTCAGGTTTCTGGAATATATGACTGCAAAATCTGGAACATTGATGTGGAATTCTAAAACAAAGGAGCACTTCCTCAGATTTCAATCATCTGGGTTTGATTTTGAGTTGTGACTTTTTGTAATTTTAGATTTATCTCTTCTCTCTTAGTATATAAATTGATTCTTTCTTCCAACTTTTTCATTAAAATTAGATTGTTCAAAATAACTTTTTTCTTGCGATTGATTTCGAGAAATTTTCTGACTGATTTCTGCAATTATTGTATTTTAAGAAACGATGGCTTTTGCACGTATCCGACAGTGGCATCTGTAGAAGTTAGGCTCAGACTTGCTGATTATTTAAATGTTGGTGTGGGTATATGGGAGCTTGGACAAGGCCTTAATTACTTCACATGTTTGTTGTAATTTTATAAATGCATTCGAGTTCTTGTGTTTGTTTTTTTACAGCATCTCTTATTGAATCATTCTGTACCATTTTGGATTCAGTTGTAAATATACTTAACTTACTGAAATTAGACTAATATATTTTGTCATAATTTTTGAGCTGTTGTGTTCGGGACATAAGAAATTTACATTGTCTGTCTTGTTTTTCTGATGTATTTTGCATTATAATTATTATTTATAAAATTTTGTCACATAGTAATTTTGTCAGTGGAACCATTCGGATCAGTATTTATTAGACTTAATTTATTGAAATCGAAAATTGCTATATTGACTAATCACATTAAGACCAGTAATGCACTGTGAAACTTTTGTCGTGGGGTGCCATTTGTCATTTGAAATGGTGGAGTGGTTCTGCTGCCAATATGTGCATATAAAATAAACCACAGGTTTCTGCTTACGTACCTTCAACTTATAATAGTTATAAGTTAATGAAAGTGCGGGTTTGTGATTACTACTATAACTTTCAGTTGTTTTTTTTTTTTGGTCCCGATAAATTTGATCAGTATCTTTCAATTTTATAAAGAAAATTTGTGAATGATATTAGCATAGAATTGGTTGGTACTATGGACGGATGGAATATATGTCTCAAACGTTACGCTCTATTCAGAGCATAGTTCAGTAGAGATTTTCGATATTGAAGTGAGTATCGCTTGTTTATATTGAAATTTCTGCACTGGTTTTATTTCAATGTTTATAGTTAATCGCAGGAATATTCGTTGTATTTAGATCAAATATCCAAATGCGATCAGAGTTGATTTCATTTAGCTGAACTTATAGAATTTGATAACATCGGTAGGTTTTATTTATATGAATGAATAAATACATTAATAAATTATGAAAATATATTCTGCTTTATAATGTTCAGTTTATTATTTGTACGTTCAGTTTTCATGTTTACCATGCTTGGACATCATTTTTTTATTATTGCTTCTATAAGCTTATTCAACGTTGCAAGTACACAGTATTTAGATATGGGCTATTGATTGAATATATTGTAGATTTGCTAATAGGTTAGAATATTTTATTTAATAATTTTCTAAATTAAGCGTAAGTATGTATAGAAACATATTATTTGCATCTTCTATGGGTATGTATTTGTGACTAATAACTGTATTTATATATATTTGATTTTTGAATTCTTGCATTTATTATTGATTGTTAGCTTAGTCAAAGAACTACAAGCTAAATAAGCATTTTGGTCTTTAGAAAAGCATTTATGGGATTGCTGTTATTTTATAATTGTAGCATTTATTCTTTGTGACCGCTGAGGAATTTTGATTTCAGTCAGCTTTTCATTCTAAAACGAATTATTATACGGTAAATAAAAGAAGAAGAAGCAATACAATTTTGTTTTCGTCTGATTGCTTTTGTATTTTTTCGTTCAAGATGCTGAAAATTTTCTTTCATTCATCTGGATTATTATCGTTATCACCATTATTATTATTATCATTATTGTTATTAATATTATCTTTGTTGTTATTTTTATTATGATTGTTGTCAATTTTGTTATTACACTTATTATCATTACAATAATGATATTAATGTCAATTTGTTACTGTTGTTATTAGATATCTTTTAAAGTTCAACTGTTAAAGAAAATAATTTATGAAACTTGTTTTCTAAAGTAACGAATAAGTTATTATTATCGTGAATGAAATTCAAATATCGTTATTTTTGTTTATGGATAGAACGAACATAAATATTGTTATCTTTATTGTTTATGAAAAGTATGCGAGCACAAATATTATTGCCATTATCATCATCATTTGTATTTGTCACTGTATTTATTATCAGTTGTTGGTTCTCATTATTCTGATTGTTCGCACTCTTAATTACCATCTTTTTTGCTATTCATTATTTATTTATTTTTTACTAGTTGTAGTATTAATATTGTTATTGTCATTATTGTTAGCATCATTTTTATCACAATTACTAATCACAAATGTTTTTATTGATACTGAACAATAACAATAACATTAATGATTAATATATATAAATAATTGCAACAATATTCACTCTAGTATTGTTTATTTTTTGGTCTTTTCAAAGTAATACCTTATTATTAGTGTTGTGCTAAAAACACAAATATTATTAATTTTATCATCATTATCATCAATACCACCAGTATAAGTATATATTTTAATTGCTGTCATCATTTTTATAGTAGTCTTAAAATGCTATTGTTTATAAAAAGTACAAAAAAAAGGCAGATATCATATCACTGATATTATTATTATTATTGTTTATCAATAGTTTGCTTATTATTCGATGCGCATTGCTGTTTTCCTTATTATTCTGGTTGTTTTAAGTATTACTGCTGATGGAATATAACACTAATAGTAAATATTATCATGCATGTTAGAAAATATCGAGGAATTCAAACTTATATGAGTACAATTGCTCCTAGATATTTGATAAGATAAATTAAGAATTATTTTTAAAAAAGTAGATGAATAAAATTGTTAAGTTTGTTAAAGGCATGCTTTCATAAAAATATGATCTTTACTTTCGTCTTTGATTTAAATAAGTATACAGAAGTAATTTTAAAAAGTTTTCTGAAACTTTTGCTACTTTATTTTTTAACTTTGTTAAACTTTTAATAAATTTTTTATTTTCTTTACTAATTTCTGCGTTGGTATTTTTGTGCTATAAATGCATCTACTGATTGGAAATCATAGAAAAGAACAGAAAATTTTTATTTTTTCTGGCGAATATGAGTGAATAGCGAGAAAAAGTTCAATTCGTATTCGTTGAATCTGTACCACATTTTTGGAGAATAGAGCATAGATTGTTATTGCAATACAATCAATCAAAAAACTAACAAAATTCATATAAGAGCAAAAATGTTACAAAAATTTGTATTAAATTTTTATTATTGTATCAGTGATGAAAATTTGCATAGAGATGTGGAATGTAATTATGATTAAGTTTATAAATCTCGTTGTGAACGGGTAGTGTAACAATATCAACTGTGATCAGTCGATTAATCTGTTCAGGTCAAGTAAATTAATCAAAAAGTTGTTATTAATCTAAAAATTTATTTCTCTTCTGAAAAAGCAAAAATGTGATTTTTTTTTTCCCATCAAATTTTGTAGCAAGAAATTTTATAAGGTCAAATGTACACATTTATCAATTACAATGGGTAACAGAAAGATAAAAAGATAGATAAATATTTGGGACAAGTTGGATTAAAACAAACATATCTTTGAAACAAACATATTTTTGTAAGAAAATTCACACCAGTTGTTACCAAAAATAAGAATTTCATTAAGAATTTTTTATTTTATTTTGGTGATAATTAATATAGATTAAGTATTTAATTTATATCATGTTTTTGAGTAATACTGTAACCGAGGTATTTGCTACTTATACTTAAATTGTGTTTATTCTCATTTTGTAAGTTATGACCTTTATCATGGCTACTTGATATTCTGTTAATGTGCCAAACAGTATTTTTGACTACTTAAAGTGTAAAGCTTGTTGTTCAAATATATTTGAGCATTATTTGTTTTCTTTTGTTGCGTTGTTCATTTCCAGATATATATGTAACTAAAATAAACTCTTAATTATATTAACAGGTCAATTAAGAATTAATGTTTGAAAAAATTAATAATACATGTCTGATTAGTTGATAAAAATATTTAAAAATTAAGTAAGTAATTTAATATTATTGTTCACTAAAGAGAAGAAGTCAGGAAAAGTAAGAATTAAAGAAGGATTTAGCTTAAATGGAGCGTAATCCAATTTCGTGGCAAATCTGAAATCCAATTTGAAAAATACTCATTAAATATATACCAAATGATTATCTAAAAGATTATGATTAATAGAATCATCATTTGATAGAATATATGCAACGAATGAAATGCTATAAAAAATAATTAACACGATATATAGATTATTTATCCCAGCATTACGCATATTATTATTATTATTATTGTTATGACTATTTTTGTTATCATTATTAATACTGCTATTATTGCTTTCTGTTTATTACTATAATCATAGTTGTATTACTTTTGTTTTTGATAACGATGAGGTAAAAAATAAAATTAGAGAAAATTTACAAACGTAACAATTTCATATTAGTTTAAAAGAATATGACAGTATTTAAATTTAATTAAGAAAACGTTTACTTGACTTCATCCCTTCAATCGTATTTACCGAAGTGATAATCACTCTAGAATAATAGATAAGTACGAAAGAAAAGATAAAATATACGGTAAGTAACAAGTTTTTAAATCAAGAAGAAGTATACTCTTTTCAAGTTAAAGCTTTACTCTTAACTAATTAAGTCTTGGACTAGACAAGATTTCCGGAGGCTGCTTTTAATAGATTTCATTTCTTTACTTGCCACTTCTATTAGCTTTGTAGATATATTGTGCAAAAATTTAAAATGCTAAAAAGTAACTTATTTAACTTTTTATCACTTTTTGAAATTGAAATGTTATCAATTATCAATTAAGTATGTAAAAGGATGAACCTGAAAAATTTTCTTTCCAAGCAACTTTTAAAAGCATTTATTTGTCAAATAGATTTTTTACACTTTTTAAAATTGCAAGTATAAGCAATATATACAAAGCTTTTGAGCATCTAAGATAACCATACACATGCTTTTCCTATAATATGCAAATTTAATCCTTCAAGCTTTTACTCTAAAAAGCATTCATTTCAAACACTGCCAAAACAATTCAGAACGACTAAGTTGCTTTCTGTATCCGTTACTTTATCAGGTATTCAGCCACTGTAATAATACCTTAAAGTAGCGGGAATTTTTCGTTAATTTTGTATTGTGAATTGTTAGATTGTTGAATATCTATCAAATAATAGGTACCAAAATATGTAAGTAAAGACTGGGCTAGAGTAATTTAAGCTTACACTTTACATGAATATAAGTTAGATAGCAAGTAAAGAACAGATTAAGCTTATAACTATAAAAAGAAAAAAGAGGACGAAGATAATCT